GGTGCCGCGTCCTTTGTTGCCGCCGGCGGTGACATCACCGTCTGGCGCGGGGACGCTCCGGGACGGGGACCGCGGGCCCTGCCCGGGCTTTGTCCGGGCCCGCTCGCACCGCTCCCGTATTTTTAGCAGCATCTGATCCCCGCTAAGTAACTCCCCCAGCGCAGGGGATCCTGTTTCCCTCCGTCCTGTGGGGCACCGGCGGGGAAGTGTTTCTCATTGTTCGGTGGGGTCTTGTTTTTTTTCTGTCTCTGAGAGAATCTGTTAATTTACATCTCGATGACGAATCAGGGGGAAAGAAGGAAAAGGCCGGGTATTTGCTGTGATGGCTTTGCTGACAGCGGAGGATAACGCCGATGTGCAGGGGGGATGGCGTTGGTGTGAGAGCCTGCGCTTGGCCGCCTCTGGAAGGGATGGACACGGAAAGAGAACCTGAACTTGGGGTTGCACTTTTCTGCTCCCGGAGATCTCCGCCCCTGCCTACAGAAATGTGTATCGACCTAAACAAGCGGTCTATAGCACTGAAAAATGAAAATGAAAACCATCCAGCGGTAGACCTGCACATTCTATTCAAGTTTGGAAAGTGTTTTCCTTTCTGGGATAATAGCATACATTGCAGAGGACTCTGTAGAAACGGCAGCCGAGACACACATTCTGGGGAGGGGGAGGTGACTTGAGGAGAGCTGTATGTTTTCTAGGATGGGAGTCATTCCCTAATTGCAGACCCTGATGTATAATTAACAAAATTGCAGGAAGTATTTAACCGGACAGGCGTGTAATCTACAAATGCTTTAGCAAGTTCAAGAATTCCACCCTGGTAGGAGCCTCATAAGTGTTGAAGAGAAGCCCTACACGTAGCAGCCCTTGCTGGTGCCCTGAAGCTGCACTGATGTTTCTTGGCAGTGTGTGCCTGATTGTTTTGTTTGGGTGTGAAAACTGAATGTCACAATACATTCCGTGATATGAGGAATTTATTTTTTTTTTCTGATTTCTGAGCTGTGGCTGCTGAAGTCCAGTAAATAGAAAGTGCTTGGTGACAGATCAAGTTTTTTAAAGGTTGTGTTACTCTAAATTAAGCCTTCCATGGTCCATGAGATTTAGAAATGCATTATATTTTTGTCAAATCAGCATAAAAAGTTTAACTGTGCAATTTATTGCATTTTTATTTGTGGTTCTAGAAAGACTTGTGGAGGTTTTTTACTTCTGGTTGTTCCCTTTGAAAGCAACCTGTTAGCCCTTGTAAGAGTCACCAGTCAGATATATGCCTTATGCAGGCCTTCTAGTGTGGATGTTGGTGTAGATAACAACTCTTCCTCTGTTGTCAGAGGTTTTAAATTTTTTTTTCTTGATGAAGAACTTGTCTGTAAGTGTGGATGGTTGACTGAGAACATGACAGACAGTAAAATAAATGAACCCACAGGTGTCTATTATCGAGTAAGTGTATTCATAGCAAACCTTCCCTCAGCTGAAGAGCTGTGCAGCATCAGGTGATGTGCCCACAGGCATTTGGCTGTGTCAAACATCACTGTCTGTCCTGAAAGCTCCTCCACTGATCCTGGCAGCTCCTAAAGATTCACCTTAGGGTATCCTTTAGCGTCTCTTAGTCAAAATCAAAGCTACTCTTCCCACAGATTTCAAACCACTATGGTTTGTGACTTTAAAAAAAAATAGGCCTTAGCTACAATATTATGCTGCGTTTTGTGCACTTTGAGGTTGAGGGAATTTATAATTTTAAATTAATGTTTACAAGATAGGCAAAGCTCTAAATATGAACAATTGCTGATGCTCCAGTATTTGCTTTTGTGCTAGAGATAGGTCACTCATTTTAACTTTCAAGTGGCAGCTCAGAGTTAGTGTTACAAATGGGAAAATTGTGCCCTTGTTCCTGGTAATCATTTTCTTAAGTAATGTCTTAACCAGAGTTAGTGTATAATGTGTAGACATTAGGAATGAAAGCAAGGAAGGGGATAAAATAAGTTTGAAAACTTACTTGTGGCAGCTAGCCTTGAGAAACTGGAAGGTGAACAGTTTTAAATCTGAAATTTCAGCTGCAAGTGGACATATTGTAGAAGAGAGTAAAATCTGATGTGTCTGTTGCTCTTGGGTTTGTACTTTGTCAACTTCCTGAATAGCTCTTGCAAGGTATGCAAACTAAGGGAAGGAGGTTTGTTGGGGGAAGATACACAGTTGTAGGAGAAGACTTCTATGTTAATTTGACATTTAAAGTACTTTTTCATGTTCTGACAGGATTGTGGCATTCATGTGGGACTCTTGTTATGCCATAATTTTTATTTGCCTATCGATTTCCAACTGCAAAATGTACCCCCAGTAAAAATTGCAGTACAGCATGTCAAATTCCTTTGATCAGTGAGTGCTATTAACCTGGCTGTGTAAAATCCTACTTTCAGAAGTGAGGTTGAGAATTGTATTGACAGTATGGAAAGTTATAATAATGGGAATAGAATAACTTCCACTGAGAGGGTCTGCAAATACCTGTCTCTTGGATCCTGTGCTAGCTAGCTGCCGCAGAAAGGCCTCAGAGAGGAAGCATCATTTTCATTTTAAACAGGTATCTGAATTAATGAGAAAGTGTCCCATTAAAGCATCAGATATTTTCCACTGCATTGAGCTTAACCACTAACATGAGAAATAATGAAAACACACCAAAAAAGAGTGTGTTTTGATGGCAGGGAGGAAGGAAGTGATTTCAAGAGTGGACCAACATTTTCATAGACACGCTAATTTTGAATGCCTCCATTTTAGGACCCAGAAATTACAACTGCTTTTCTAAGTGTTAAGAACATGCAGTTCCATATTTAACCAGGGAATCTGTGATTAGGAAGGAGTTAGCTTTGGTTTTGTTTTTTTTTCTCAGGTCCTCAAAATTGAGTATGCTTTCAAGTTTGTTTTCCTTTTTGGTGTATGACTTCTTCACCATCTGTTGGCAGTATGCCTTCTGCTGTTTTTCCATACAAGTTCACTGGGTTTTTTTCAGTTTCTCTTACTTCTGGTAGGTCTTTTCAAAGACTTTATTTTGCAGAACAATTATGTCCCTTTTCTTAATCCTTGTCTTATATTTCTGTTCTTAAATAATACCTTAATAGCTGTAGGAAATAATTTGCCATTTTATTCAATTTTGGAATTTTTACCCAGTAAAGTACAAAATGCTTTACACCTTTTGTCCGTAAGTTTTTTGAAAGTATTACTGTGGACAAATACACTGCAGTCTTCTAAAAAAGATACATGACACTTGCTGAATTACTTAGCTAAAAGCATGAGAAATAAGCACAAGATCTTGCTGTTGATTCTAACCACATAAAAACTCATTTGATATGTTGACCTGGCAGATAGACTAACAAAATATTTTACCCTGTTACCTGAAGAGTTCCAGAGCACCCTCTGGATCTTCATTACCACCTTGTGTTGTCTTACAGGCCCAGATAAAATGTTTCAGTGGATCTAGTGGATTTATTTTTTTTTTTATTTGGAGGGATTAATTTTAAACCTTTTGGCCTGGATACTGATTTGATTTGGCTGTAGGCACAAAATGAGACGAGAGATCACAAACATGAGCTTAACCCAGTGCTGTGCTCCCGTAATCCTCCAAAAGCTGTTGAGGACAGCAGGTTTTGAAAGTGTAATTTAGGATGTCTCATGGCTTCTCTTAAAACTGAGGTTGCTGCAATAGCCTCCTTGGGCCTCCTCTAAGCTGAGCTGTCACCTGTACACAGTGTACACATCCTCATCCCTCTGGCTTGGGTGCTTCATTCCAGCTGTTCCCAGTTCAGGGAGGTGGCACATCAGCCTGTCCTGGCTGTGCCATAGACCAGTGAGGAGCACAGCACAGTAGGTGCAGCCCTGGAGGTGCTGAAGAAGTTTGAACAGTCAGAGAATCTTCTTGAAAGAGTCCACTGCATTTCTGTGTGAACCTTGCCCTGTGGATGGGAGTGTTGGATGCTTTTTGCTCAAGAGAGAAACCAAGCCTTTGTTACACTCTCCTCATGCACACTTTCCTCGTGACTTAAGTAATTGTTACATCGGTGTTCTGATGCTATCTTTTCAAAGGCATGGTAATTAATATAATTAAATATTGCTAGCCAAATTAATTCTGATCTAGGAGTTGCACCCATTTATAGAAATGGCTGAACAAAAATTCCCTTGGGCCCCAATAGAAATTATCACCTGCAAGTGCGTGTATTGTACAAGAAAGACCGAGGTAGTGTAACAGGGGAGGGGTTGTGCAAAGCTGGAACTCTTGGTCTGTGTTGGAACACTATGAAAGGGGGAAAGATGAAGTGGAAAATGTTACATACAGAAAGCTATCCATGAAAAAAAGCAAACCAACTAGTAGGGTTACTTTCATAGAAGAGAAAGCAATATATTTTAAAGTTGCATATGCGTGTCTTGCCCTTTTTTCTGCTTGTCCTCCACATCTTGGTGATGATGTGTATGTATTATGGTTGAACTTGTGGATGTGAACTGAAATATCACTCCAGTCCACAATTCCTTAGTCTGGCAGAAAGTTCAAAGGTCTTCAAACCCTTTGTTTTTGTTGCAGTGTTGCTGGTTGGTGCCTTCTGGCAGCAGTGCCCAAGGTGAAGATCAGCTGCAGTGAGGAGGGAAAGTGGTGGAGGAGCTGAAGTTGAGAATTTGCTGCATGGATAAGAAATGGTAGCATAGCCAGTGATGTTTGGTGCTTCTCCTCAAGGATGAGATTGCTTGAGTGACCTTATGTAATTCATTCTCAGAAATGAAGAAGTGTTTTAGTAGCTTTCTGGAGTAATATTTTATCTGTGAAAGACCAAGCATTAAGTGATAGTCACTCCTGATAGTTATGATACAGTTTAAACCTGCATTCATAAAAGCTGTAAGTATTCCATGTTTTATGCTGCAGTTCTGGTATAGCATATGTATATGCAATGCAATAATCCTTTTATTAATATCAGGATAGGGCTACACAGTTCATTTTCCATACAGTAATCAAATACATGTATTATTGAATGTCCTTATAGTAGCATTCAAGATTATTTGGTTAGTGAACAATATACCATGACACTTCTTATTCTTCCACAGCTGAAGAATTCAGCAAGTTGTCTAGAGAATTGTGTTGCTGGTTATGGGTTCTAGGTGAAAAGTTTCCTGAGTGTGCTAAGTCTAAACTTCCTTTCTAGACAACAGTTAGAAAAAACCTGCACCTGTATTTCCTGTCTCAATGAATATTGGTTTCAGCATAGACACTGGCTGTCTTTCATTTTGCTGGTGGAGCAGAGGGAGAAGAGAGAAAGGAAGACAGACCAGAAAGTAAAGGATACCAGATGATATCATAGAGTTAGGTAACTTCTATCTTGGAAATACCCATTCATAAACAGTTTAAATGAATATTTTAATTAATATTGGTTGAATATTGTAATGCTTTATCTGCTTAAAATAGATTTTAAACTATAGTTGGTTAAAAATGTGTTAGGCATGGCTAGAGGTAGCAGGAAGAGTATGCTGATGTTTGAGTTATCTGTGTTACCACCTTACTTATAAAATTAGAGCTGGTTTCTAGATTCACTGTTGTTGAGTGGGCAGTTGTTAGGGATCTGTTCCTAACCACTGTGTCCAGAAGATTTTCCAAGGGGAATTCTGAAAAGAAGAGAATATGTTTATAATCACATTTAACAGAGTATTGCTTTCTGCTTCACATGGATTTCTGCAAGAAGTGTCTTAAGTGGGATCAAGATACTCTGCAGAGTCTGTCCCTGTCTGCCTGTGTCCCAGTTCATCACTTCAACAAAGGAGGGAGGCTCAGCTTAATGAGCACTTCTGCAGTCCCTGTAAATGGCTGTAGTCAAACTGGTTGCAGAATGTAAGGCGAAGAAACTAAAAATAACACTTCTTGCTTGTGGCAGACTTGTGTCTTCCAGTCTTTGTGCTTGTCCTTATTTCTGCCTCCCCATATGCACAAAGTGAAACCTATTTGTATTTTGGAGGAGTAATAGTCTGTGGAATAGACTAAACCAAATCAGCCATGACTTTTCTATGAGCTAATGAAACAGTTCCTCAGAGACTGAAGAGTTACAAAATGAGCAGGTTTTTAGAGATGTCGTGGTTGAGTAATAATAAAACCTTTTCAGGGGAAAAAGCTGAAGAGTCACCGTTCTCTTGACTCTGAAAGGCAAAGCAAGCTTCAATTTTGATTTGCACCACAAGAAAAATTGGCTCTGGCATTATGAAGGTCTCAGAAGCAGAGCCTTTGACTTGCTCCCTGAAGGTAGGATATGTTTTTGTAGAAGATGCTGTCTTGTCCTGCCCGCCTCTTGAGGGACAGCCATAGCAGTGACCTGCCCCAGCTGAGCAAGAGTTGTGTAACTTCTTGCTGGGTAAAAGTGCACTTCAACCAAAAAAATTCCCAGCCCCAAGACTAAGCAAAATGCACCAAAAAACCCCACTCTAGCAGCCCTAGGATAAGCTATCATCTTTCTTATTTAATGTCTTCTGTTTGTAACTTTAGCAAGCCACTTAACTGGTCTGTGCTTTAGTTTCTTCACTGTAAAATGAGGAGTGAAGGAGTAATAAAGTTTATCTTTATTGTGGGCATGCTTAGTAATTTAATTCAAGTTTGTAAAGGGTTCAATGGTAATTTGATTTTAATAAAATAATGCTCCTCTATTACAAAAGGAACCTCTGCAGAAATTTATGACAAACCTGATGCTGTAGAGAGGGAGCTTTATCATAGGATCTGTTTAACGCAGTAGATAAGTCTCCTAAAATCTGTTTTGGAATCTTACAGTTCAGCATTTATTTGGCAGCCTGCATTCCAGATGCTTGATTAGTAGGAATGAAGGGTCTGTGGAGATGGTAATAAGAAATCTTTCCTAATCAGGGTGATGAATCTTTGCTATGTGGGAAGATCATGCATTCTTTTGGACAAGCCAACCCAAACATGCAATACCACCCTCCCTAAAATCTAGGACCACCATGCATTTAGGAAGCTCTTCTGTTTCCCGTATGTACCTTGGGTTCTGTGCTGTGATCAGCTGTTGCTGGCTGTACATCTGGAGTCAGTTTCTGACCCACGGAAAATAAACCACTTTTATGTTTTGAAGAGATAATGATCTGTGGAATGGACTAAAGCAAATCAGCCATGACTTTCCTATGAACTAATGAAACAATTTCCAAGAGACCGAACAGTTACAGAGAGCGATTATTTTATTTACCAGCCCCTCCATAGGAATCTGCCAGCCACTCTGTTTCTCATCAGTGAAGAAGAAAGTCAGAATGCCGGTGGCATAAAAGCTGCTGGGCCAGGATCCACACACGGTGACACGGACAAAGAGCAGATGCGTGCAGCAACTGGAGGAGGAGATAAAAGAACCATCCTTCAACCGCAGTTGCGTCAGCCAAATCACAACCAGCTGGGTTATTGCACTGGGCATTTCTGCTGATCCACCACAACGCTCACGCATGCTCTGTGCGTGTTTGCACGCACACGTACCCTCTGTCAAAGGCTGGGCTGATTTTTGAGCCTTCTTGTCCTCCCTCTGTTTTTAGCCATTGGTTTAGTTGAGGGAAGATGTAGACCTGAGGTGTCTGGGGAAGGACTGAAACTGTTGGAAGGATGAGAGAAACTGTGACTCAGGAAATTTGGTTCCTACCTTAGTCCCAGCATGCAGCGATGAATGTGCATACTGTTATCCTTGCAATACTGAAACCTGTTTCCCTCCATTGTGTTTTGGACACTGGAGTGGCCTCTCACCTGCTTTTTGCTCAGAGGGAGCAATTTGTATTTCTAGAGGCAAGGTTCAGGAGCATGCATGTAGTGCCCTGCCCTCCAAGGCCAAAAGCTCATGCAGGTTCAACTTCGTCCTCAGTCAAAGACAAGTCTCAGCTGGCTGACAGGGCTGAGTTTCCCAGAGCTTGGGACTGTAGCTAGCCCACATGCCAGTAGAGTTTGGACTGCTGAGAGAGGTCCTAGAAGCATCAAGGAAATGCCTGCTTTATGACTAATAAAATTTAATGAAGCTGCTTGACTATCCAGTTGTAAGCAAAAAATGAGTCAGTCTGTGTTGGTTTGGACCAAAGCAAGGAATTGACCATCTTGCAGCCATGATTAAAACCATTACGTCTACCACATGCCACCAGTTTCTAATCTGTCATGGCAAAACTGCTTTAAAATAAAAAATCAGAATAGAATATATCCCACAAATATGTTTTAACATAACTACTCTCCATGTATAAATAGCTCTGTGCAGACTGTAAGGTATCCCTGTAGTTCTCACTGCTTTCACTCTGTGTGGCTCTCCAGATGATTTGGGTACAAGCTCTAGCCAGAAGAAAATGGAGCAATATTTCTCTGTATTTATTCCCATAAGATGTATCTTGGTAGCAGGGATACAAATCTCTAACAACTCGGTGTGTGAGCTTTACAGAATTGGATGAGGTTGGGTGCTCTTGCCCTTTCTGTTTCAGAGCTGTGGGAGGCTTATTTAAGAGATCAAAGTGCATCAGAGTCCATTATTTCAGTATCTATGGGACAGTATAATGCATGAATACTCTGGGATGATGCCTGTGTCTGACTTTTATTCATCACTGTAATTAAAGCCAGAAACAGAGCTTGTTCTGTGCACTGAACGTTAATCACAGTGTTTTATTAATACAGTTGTTGAAATCTTTAATTCAGATATCGTATAATTTTGCAGTATAGATTAAGACTAGTATTTATTTTGCCTGAATACATTAATTTTATTTAAAGTTCAGAAAGGGAAGAGGTTGCTCTCAGGTTTTGGACAAATGAGTGCAAGCATTGCTTGACTGCAGACGTACCAAACTGCTAAACTGGTTTGGTCTGTACTGTAGCTTAACAAAAAGCAGTGAACTGCTGTATTCAGTGGAAAATATATAAAAGGCTCAGCAAACTAGTGCTCTAAATTCAGTTTTAGTTAAGACACTGAAATTAATATTTTAACATCTGTAGACTTTATTTTATGCTCTGTAGTAATACTTGCTTAATTGCCATTGCCAGTTTCTGATGTTTTGGGATTTCCCTTGGTTGTTTTCTGTTTAAATATTATGATTTTTATTGCAGTTGCATCCATATATCTTTAGTTTAGTTTATGAAATATGACTAAGATGTTGCTTTAGTGTCTGCTTCACAGAGTTCTTTAATGTTGCATCTATATATTTGGAGACCTTGAGGCAGTTGTGGATTGTCCCGTGGAGAATGGTGTCCTTGAAAGTATATTACTATTCTTGGAAGGGAACAGAATCAGTTTTAAAAATTCAAGCAAAAATACTTAACTTTAACTGTTAATTCTTTTCTTGTTAATGCTTTTTCACCTCTCAGTTCCTGGCTCTCTGTGTCTCTATGGGCTGTTTTGATTGTGCTCATAAGAGCTAATGAAATCCCCTAATACTGAAGTACAGGCCCACAACTCTACTTGAAAATTTTTAGGGATCTGCTGATTGGAAGCTGGTGAGGAACACTGAGGTAGTGTTGGACTGAGGTTTGTCCCGAGCTGAGGAAACTCTTCCTGTCCTGGTGTCCCACTTTAGCTGATGACACCTTCATGTTGCTGCAGTGGCTGAGCTGGCCAGGTGCCCCAGTGGCTGGGCTGGGTTAGATGGTGGCTCTTTGCTCAAACCTGAGTGAGATGCTTGGTTATTCTCCCACCTGCCCTCAACTGGAGGTGGGAATGTGGTATTTAATCTGTTGGAGGGGATTCATATGATAGCTCACCTGGAGCTGTGCTGGGTTGTGTGTAATCATTTCAGCCATCTGTAAGAATTACAAATGAGGTGCAGGGAGGATTTTACATTGTCTGAATATATAAAATCTCCCTGAAATTTCTGTGCCCTGAAGTTGTATTTGCTTTACTCTATGGCTAAACTACTGAAAGTGAGTTTACCAAAGAGTGCTCATTCCTTCTGTAAATGTAGTGGGTTTCTCAGTTCAAAGTAGATGGAGTCAGATATTCAAAGAGACAGTGTTTAATGGCAAGTTTTGTTTTTAAAAGTCCTTTAGGAAACATAAAAATACTATCCACACAAAATTTCATGCTCTAGGTAATCTTTTATCTCCTCTAGAAACTGTATTCTTGTTCAATGAGTAACCTGGTTTTTCCTGCCTCCCAGAAGAAGCAAGATGACCTAGATGTAGAGCTTCCTGGGGAAAAGTTCACCCTATATATAGCATCTCCTGAAGTGTCTTTATGTAGCTGTCATTTACTCTGAGCTGATGAACTGAAAGAGGAAAGAGCTGAAGTTTTAGGCTGTGGTAGGAAAGAAGGGTGTTTTATCCCTCCTTTTTAGGGGGGATCTATCTTATGCTCATGTTACTGATTGGACTACAGCCAGGTGAAGGCCAGGTGTCCCAACTTCCAGCTGTAACACTGTATTTCATGTCTCTGTGTCTCCTCGATGTGCTGTGGCTGAGAAATGACCAACTACCTCTGTTAAAGGAGTGGATTGGATCCTGCCTTTGTGCCAGCAGGAGTTTCTGCACAGGAAACTCTGAACGTGATATCCTGGGGTCAGTGTGTTCTTTGCTCCAGTCAGATCATGCAGATGGAGACCCTTCCAAGCAGCCCTGCTGGCACAGTGGTGTTTTTACTGGAAAGCAAAAACTGGGAAAATGGTAGTAACAACTACATGACAGATGCTACCAAACAGGCTGTTGGTGTTGAGGGATCAGGCAAGTGTTGCCACCTTAAGGTGATGAGTCAAATGGTGAAGTGTACTGCAGGCTGAGGGAAATCTGCCTGTCCTTTTGTCAGCATAAGGCTTTTTTTTAGATACAGGAGAGTTTATCTGAGTGCATCAGCAACCTGAGTGATTTGGACTTCTGGGGAGACTTTCTGGGAAGAGAAGGGTATTTTCCAAGTCCCTACAGAGAGTGCCACTGCCTAAGGACGCCACATACTTCTCTCCTGGGGCCTTCACGCTTGGGCCAGTGGCACTGGAACCCATTGGTGCTCCTGTGGTGGGCTGTGTACACTTCTGGCATGTGGAGAAAGCAGCAGCTGTGTTCATTTGACTTGATGGCAGGATCCTGCTCCAGAGCTTGAAAATAATGACTTCAACAGGCCCAGCTCAGGAATGAACACAGCCAGGGCCAGAGGAGAGGCTCAGAGGTTGTCTCTGTGTTCAGCAGACCCCTGGCTAAAACTAGGCAAAAACGTGGTGTGCCTTGTACTCAGTGTTGTATGTATACATGTTTCTGGGACAAGGAAGTCTGATCTAACCCTCCACTACTGCCAAGAAGGGATTGTTTCACTTTTCCTTCCTGTTTTCCACATGGAGCCCTGTTCTCTGCAATCACTCCATGGTGGCTCTGGTGCTTGGTGGGTCAGCTCATACATTCAAGTGTCTGAAATGGGTTGTGTTATTCTTCCTCTGGGCAGATTAGTGAAATGAACTGACTTCCTGGTGAAGACTTGATTTATCAGCACTTTTTGCCACCTATAGATTGCATTTTACTTAGGGATATGTATGGGAAGATCTAGAGGTGTCATGTATTAGATGAGTGCTATTACTACCAAGTATTAGAGAAGTTTTGACATTTTCCATGTTGAAATAAAGGCTATACTTGGACTTTACTGTGTACCAGAGCATGCACAGGATGAGTATCTGATACTGGTTTGGGCTGTGAGTGCATTTGGGAATGGTCTGTGCGTGAAATGCAGTTTGAAGTTGCCATTTTTAACTTCAGCAGGGAGGTGATTTCAGTTGAAGGGATTTTACTGCTTCAGGACAAATGTCTGATGTGGACAAAGCCTTAATTCTTTATTTATTAAATGTCATCTTTCTGGTTTAGAAAAAAAAACAAAACCAGGAAAAAAAGAAAGAATCTAAGTTTGTCTCCCATAACCACCTTTAACGATTCTTGAGTGCTTTTATTTGCTATTTTTCTCGCTAGAGAAGCTTCATTAACAGTTCATGAGTAGGCTTGGTAAGTGCAGGAGTGTCTGAAAACTTTGACAGCCTGTTCATATTGTGCAGCAGACTGTGATGTCCCTTGGGACACAACTGACCCCAGTAACATCATTGATCTGCTTCGTGGGTGCTGCTCTGCCTCTTTTCTTCACACAAGCTTTCCAGTTATGACTCCATGGATGGTTTCCAAAGTCTGAATGTTGCTTGGCAAGCTTTGTCACTGCTGTTAGGAGTTTGATTACCTTTGTGCATATGTATGTCAGGACTGCCAGTGTCTGTGGCTTTTAATAAAAAAACCTCCGTGTTGTCTAAAATGTTTAGAATTAAGAAATTATGTAAGTGTGCAAGAGCAGGAGCTAGGCTGGCTTCCTCAATTTGACTGTCTTATTTTATATGTTGTGTCTCCTTATTCTAGTTTGGCATCTCTCAGAGGAGGCCACTGGCTTCCTCTTGAAGCCAGTCTTACTTAAGGCAAATAAAGGGACAAAACCATGTTTCAGAAAATAAATTTGAGAAGCAAATCTTGCTGCTTCTTCATGCATCCACTCATGCAGCATTACCAATTCTTCTCCTTGCTGGAGTAGTGCTGTGCTCTTACATAGCTCGATCACCCTTGCTCAGAACCTTTCTGAATTCAGAACCAGGAACACTGAATACAAGCATTAAATAAGATATTTACAGCTTTTTTGCACCTCATTAGCTATGTTGGGTTAGTTTTTGGCTTGGAAACCTACCAAAAAAGCCCTCAAAACCACAGGAGATGGGGCTGCTGGGGCAGAGAGGACACCCTTCCTTATCGGTCATATTCTACATTGCCAGGGCTGTGGGGCACTGCAAAGCTGTAGAAATAATTTTCTGAATGAGACCACTGAGGTTCCTTGGATTATTTCACAGAATATGCTGGCTAGGTTTCAGTTTGAATACAGTTTTATAGCATTCAGCTGGACAGAACATAACTATTTAAATTAGAGCAGTAGCTAGTGCCCTTTCTGCCTTAAAAAGGCTTAAGTAATACAGCAAACTAAAGTAAGACAAATGCTATTTTAAATCCTAATTGCAGAATGGTTACCAGCAGTACAGTGCCTGTAGATTGACACAGACTGCAATAATACCATGTACACTTGTCACTGATGACCTTACATTTTGCTTGCCATGGGCCAAATCCTCATTTGTGGCACAGCTGCCTGGTGCTAATCAAGCAACACAAGTGTAACTTCCAGCTAGCATATGTTCAGCAGAGAAAACTTTATAAAGGTCTTTTGTTCAGCCCTGCCTTCATTCCTGCTTCTGCCTGTAGATTGTGCTGCAGGAGAAAGGGTTTGGCCAAGATTGTTTGTGTTCTGCTGTAGGTATTTTCCATCAGTGGGCTATCAAAACCTTCCCTGAGATCAAACAAGAATTCCTGATGGAAAATCATTTTGCCCAAGATTTTATTCTCACATTTAAAACTTTTGTTTTGTTGGTGTCTTAAACTTCCAAGTGGGCATGATACTGTTTGCTGACCTGGCTTCAACAAAATGAGGCTTGGATTTAATGAGCGTTATCTTTTGTATTTTATTTAAATTAGCATTGAGTTAAACATGACAAGCATTATTGCTAGTTTTTACACTGCATCAGAGATTATATTAATTTGGATAACAACTGTTTTCAGTACAGTCATGAAAACTACATATTAACAAGTGTGTGAATTGGACTGTTTTCTGGTGTCTGGACAAGGGGATATATGGATAATTTTGCATATACTCAGTGAAGTTATTTTTTTGCAGACCATGGATGATTTTGAAAGACACTGGTTAAGCTTTGCCCTGTTACCCCTACAGGGAGCCTCTTTTGATCAACCAAGAACTAATTTCAAGAAGCTTATTTCACAATTCTAGATTGTTTATGGCAAACTTGCACCTCTTATTCTTCTGCCAGGTAGGTCTCTAGTTGTTTCTCTAACATTTACACTCCTGATTTATTTAGAGATCCTATATCCTTTTCAGCCTTTGTTTTTCTGGGCTAACGCTTCTATTTTTATTTTGTTTATTAGCAGAGATGATATTCAAACAACTTGGTTTTCCTGAAAAACAAAATGTCTCATCTATAGTCAGTGAAACAAAACAAAAACAACAGTGAAAAAAAGAAAATATTAAAATAGGGCATGTGTTAAGTGATGGAGGGAGCATTGACTGACCTGTCAGGATCTTGCAGTGAATTTGTCATGGGGGCTCATAATAGAAGTTAGAGACAGTATTTAACTCCAGATCTGCAGAATGTGCAGAGGGGTAAGCACCTTTTCACGTGCTGCTGCATGTTATCCTCTCTCACTGGGGTAAACTGTTCTATAAAATGGAACACCAGGAGTGCAGCACTACATGGAATGATACAAACAAATTAGAACCAGGCCTGTAAGTTATTTCAAGGCCAAGTTCTGTATAAAGCTTCAGCAGAGCGGAGAAATTTTCTTTAACTAGATTTCTAGTCTGAAATTACTCTGCAGGGTACTTGCTTACAGTGTTCAGCAGACTTCATTTGATGAACACTGGACTCCTTTTTGCTAAAGTTCAGCGAGAAGGCCATGCCCAATCTTTTTCTGCCCCCAAGGAAGAATATAGAGCTGCCCATCTCCCAGAAGGATTGGCTTATTTTTGTTTCTACTGGGTGATTCAAAACATCAAGTGAAAGAACAAAAGATTGTGTGCTGCAGTAATTTCTACTCATGTCTTTACTGCACTGGAGATTAATCTGTAAGAAAGGTGGTATCCCATTTAAAGACAGGAATTCAGATTCATCTTGTTACCTTGCCTGTTTGGTTCAGCAAATCTTTTGGTGTTCCCAGGGAAGCATGTTCCCCGACTTCATTTAACTGCAGCTGACTGTAAGGAGACAAAGTGAGTTTAGTCCTGAAGACTTGCAGGAGTGGCACTAAATGCCATCTGCTTCCCAAGTTACTCTGCTGCACCCACTGCCTCTTGGAGAGGTCTCCATTTGGGGGTCAAAGGGTGAGCTGACTAGAATGTCAGGAAAGATAACAAAAATGTTTCATGGTCTTTTGAGTCATGATATTTCTGTTTATGAAGTTGTAGTCTGAGCAACAGGCTGCTTTTTCTCTTGGAGCTTATCTAGGTATTACAGTTACCTCTGTAGTTACACCCTAATGACTCCCACAGTGACAAGACTAGATGTCATAAATTAAACGTAAAGAACTTGCAGGTTTTCTTAGTTAGCTGTTTCTTAGATAGCTGTTTTGCTGGGGCTGTGTGTATTTTTTTTTATCTCCAAAAAGTCTCAGTGTTACTCCGTTCTGGCGTTCTGTTGTGACTGCAGTTTGTCTGTGCAAGTATAAACTGACAAAACTTATTTTAGTGAGCGTGTAGGTTGCAGCAGGACATGGTTATTCCACCCTAAACATTAATGCAGGAGAATACAGTGAGTACGAGTGTTTCTTTATATTTTCACAAAGCCTGAGACTGTTGGTAGTGTAATGTTCATGACATTGGGCTCTCATTTCTGACTGAAGGGGACAACAAAAGTAGCATGAACCTCACCCAGAGTGGTGGAGTTACACTCCGGTGCAGGACCTGAGCTGTATCCTTGTATGTGTGTGTAAATGTTCTTGGTAAATTAGAGCCTTTAAATCTGCACAGACAAATTTTATGTTTCCATGAGACTTTCTCAACTCCAGCTGTGAAACTGCCTCCTGTGTATCACTGTATGTAGTGTTCAGGGTTTCTGGTGCTCCTCACACAAAGTGAAAGATGGATTGTTGCGTACAGATGAGCTGAGGCTGGAAATCTCCAGGCTTTGCAGCTGCCCTCATGTGGGTGTGTCAGGGTGAAATGGGGCTTTGTCTTCCAACCAGTCAGTCCATATTCAGAAAAATGACCTCTCTGTTTTCATATCCCTCCTCTCAAACAGTTTTCTGTTCTTCTGAGATTTTGTGGCAGCCTGAGCCATAATTCAGGCAAGTACTTAAGTAGGTGCTCAAGTGCCATGTCCCTGGTAGTATTTGAAATCCTTACTAAGTGTGCTGCTGGGGCTGTAGTGGTAGATTGGTAGATTTTACTGATCTGTGCAGACAGCAGGAAGAATCCATTGTGGAAACTTCAAGTTTTCCTTCAGAAAGGCATTTGCATGTAAATAAAACCCTGTCTTCCATGACAGAGGGTGTAAACAGGGGAATGGGCTGACAAAATAGAGGTTTTTCTTCATCCCACTGGAGCAGAACAGGATGAAATGGGAGCTGCAGAGGCTGGGTTGGGCTCTGTGCTCCCCATCTCCCCCCTCACCTTTGCAAAACTTTGGACCTGCTTCAGTTCCCCCTTCAAACCACCTACTCCAAAAGCACCTGTGCTGAAACGGACATGGGTGTTTCTGGTATGAAACTAGGGCAGGCAAGATCCAAAGATGAGTGTAAAAAGCCTCACTACACCATAGATTGAAAAGGTTGATTAGCCAGGTGTTTGAATGTGCAGTTAGTGGTGGGGGGTTGTACCTTATTTATCTGTGAAGCTGAACGTTTACAATTTGTCCTGCTTGCACCAGCAACTGGCTGTTTCATACATAGCAGTGAAATGAATCCTTGTTGTCTGGTGACACATTAAAGAGATGACCAGGTGCCCATTGAACTGTCTCTGTGCATTTAAAACTTTAAAATAGTAGGAAAAACATGTTCTGGAAATATTTCACTTGTATAACCAATTCCTGAGAGAGCTATTTATGATTTCTCTACCTGTTCTTGGCACAGGCTTTTTTTCTGTTAGAAGAGGTTTGACAGTTGCATGAGATCACACTTGGATTGGTGCCCTGCGAGCTGAAAACGCAGAGTCATTGCTTGCGAGGACAAGACTTAGCTGGAAAAAATAGCAACATTGCCCTTGTGTTCACTGCTAATACTGCATCGAGAAGTGGAGCTCCATCAAGCTTTAGTGTGCCTTGATATTCATGCAGTCATTACTTGCTTATAAATAGAGAACTGCTTAAAAAAACCCCAACAAACTAAGGGATTTAGAAATATTCATTTAATGCCTTGGACGTTCCTTTAAGATTAATAAATGACTGGATGAGATGAGCCAATAGGCTGACTCTGTGCCTCTGGCTATTTACAGCTGCTGCTTATTTACTCAGAGATGAAATAATTAATGTTATTATCAGATGAAATAATTAATGTTATTATCAAATGATGCTAAACAAATAGTCAGATCACATTTTTTGTGTGCGCTCGTTCTCCCTGAAGCAGGAGATGGCAGCAAGTGGGTGCCTGGGGGAAGTGTTGGTGTCCACACTATGGAGCTGTGCCTCTTGTGCACAGCCCTGGCACCAATTCAAGCCCCAGCTCCAGCCTCAAGATGTGGCTGAAATCACAGAAAACCCCAGTCAGTCTCCCAGGATCTGGTGGAAGGGAGGAGCTCTGGGTGGATGCTATGGACACCCTCTCCAAGCCCCCTCGCCAATGACACCGGGACAGCTGTGCACAGAGATTGAGACTGTGTTTGAGGTGCCCCAGCACAAGGCAGGTGTATGTGAGCCACATCTGTCTGTGGCTTTCCAGCAGGCTGATGCAGAAACAGGTTTAAGAAAAAAGCTGTGGTTATGCTGTTGCAAAATGCAGCCTGATGAATCCTTTAACTGGCCTCGGGAAGCCTCCTGGTTGCCTGTGCACAGTCCCCTGCTGCACTGAGGCTTCTCACACACTTTGATCTCAGGGTATCCTCTGTTCATTAGAAATTCAGATGCCAATAAGAAAATAAAAAGGCCTGTGGAGCTGAGTGTACCATCAAACTGCCAAGGTGTGGCAGCTTTCTACTTGAGCAAGCATTCATAACTGAGGATGGCTTTGTTAAAAAGGCAATTAAAATATTTCAGATGGAGGACAAAGTTATGATGCAGTGAAGTTTAACACAGATTCCTGGGTTTTGGAACAAGCCCTGCTGTCACGGGCTGCCTCACAGACACAGTCTCACAGCAGGTGCCCCACACCAGCGGTCTCTCTGCTGCAGGTTTTCCTGCTCTGTGGTTACACAGACCCAGCTCATCACCAGTCCCATCTGCTTTTTGAAGGTCTTCTGCAATAGCGTGTGGACTGCTGCCCCTTTTCTCCCCCCAAGTCATTTATCCTTAGTAGAGCAATCTGTTTTCTCTCCTTTCCTTATGCTGTGGCAGAGCTTTGTACTGCATGAGAGTCCTGCTCTCCTGAGTCTCTGCTGTGAAGCGTGATGGAAAATTCTTCTGTCAGGTGTGGCAGAGGTTTGCAGTGTGTGAGATCTTGCTCTTCTGAGTCCCTGTTTGCTGCCAGTCCTGACAGAAAAATGTTCATCAGGTTTCTGCTTGGCTTCCCTTGCTGGGGGAGCCCATTGCTGGCCCATCTACCTGGGCTGTGGCACAGCTTGGCCTCATCAGCTCAGCCCCAGTAAAGCGAAGGTCCCTGTCAGTTTGCAGAAGCATTCTCCTACCTTGCCTCTTCTGTGTATTTTGGTGAGGTAACTTTTCATTTCTCTATGAAAAGAACAACTGTGTCCTCTTTCAGACTTCTTTTTGGGGCTTGCTTACAACCAGGTGGCTACAAACAAGCAGTTTGTGTCATGGCCTAGGATGGTGCGTGAGGGGCAGATGATCTGAGTGAGCTGCTGCTGTGCCTGTTTGTTTTTGTTACTTGTGTTACCTCTTACCTGAAGCTGAATTGATGCCTCACAGAGACCTTACATAAAGGTGATGTTCTCAGTCTAGCTGGGACTGTTGTGTCTGTCATCAGGAACCTGATGTAGGAGCACCTGAGCTCCTTGATAGGATGCTTTTGGATGTCTGTGGAAAGGAGCTTTAGGCAAGGCTGTTACTGCATTCTGGAGTCCTCTTTGCCCAGGGAGGGTGCTTATCATGTTCAACAGTAACACTCAGCCTAGAGATGAAAATAATTCATCACTTGGTTTCTCCAATCT